ATATATAGCGATTGAATATATGATTGATGATAATAATATTGATCGGATGAAGACGAGAAAAATAGCGCTACACGGAAACAACTATTTTTATAAAAACTGTAACACTATAACGAGAGTGAGAGAGAGAGAGAGAGAGAGAGAGAAAGAAAAAGAGGTTTGAGATATATATATATATATATATAATACCATGTAATTGTGTAAGATATATGTATTTGTGCTACAATGAAAGCACGAGCGAGAGAGAGAAAGTAATTAGGCAAACTGGTCTTGTATACATTAATATGTAGTCCTATATAGAGAGAACATATATTTTTACAGGGCGCTGCCCGCGTGATAAAGGCTCTTCCTAATAATTCGCTGGTACGCAATTTATTAGCTTAAAAATATCACTACAAAGTATAAATATTAGTAATTTGAAATGTAAACACACTGTTGTGTTGTAGCGCAACCTGATCGATTTCTACATATCACGATGCATGATGACGAAGCGTATCCTAGACATTTTTTTCTTTTTTATAGACGCATCTTATTTTGGTCGCCTCGAAACACGCGCAGAATGACTTATGACGATCCTCCGATAGAATATCGATCGAAGAATCCGTCATTGATATCATAGTATATTAGTCTCGTTTGCACGATTGCATGTACATATGTAGCATAATTCAGTGGATACGTCGAATAGTATTCAGTAGAAAATGCTATCACAATAATAGTATAATTTAAATTATAAATTAATAACTCTTTCGCAAAACATTCACAGCAGCACATTTTTATTCTATAAAAATAAATCTCCTTTAAAAGTGAAAAAATTTCGATCTTGTGAACGAGAGATATTTTTTAAGGAGAATCTGAAAAAAAAACACGCATAACTTGGACTTTGACAGGATGCGCTACATCAAATATCTAATGTGATTGTAGTTGATTAGCTACACACACCAGAAAAATTTGATCCAAAGGTGCAAGAAAGAATGCCATGTGTGCTCCGTACACACACACACACACACACACACACACACACACACATATATATATATTATAACACACACACACACACACACACACACACACACACACACACACACACACACACACACACACACACACACACACACACACACACACACACACACACACACACACACACACACACACACACACACACACACACACACACACACACACACACACACACACACACATATATATATATTATATTGACAATTTATTTAAAAAAATATCTTTTTTTTTTAAATTGGAAAAATGGCCAAAAAAATTATTTTTTAAACATGATCTATTTCTTGGCTTAAAATTATTCTATTCAATATATATCATGCTTCTATATTATCTCACTATTCAAAAAAATATTCTGCTCAACATTATATATGTACTTTACACTCTGAATCAGCCGCGCAATCAATCTGTTCTTTGTTGCTTTTATAAAACTTTATTTTATTGTTATTATCTGTGATAGTGTATATTGAAAGAATCAACTACGCAATTTTATTGTTACATACAGTTCATTGTATTTGAAGTTTTAGAGAATTCTATAAATTATGTTGTTTAGCGACAAAAAAATGTTATCTACATTAAATACAAATATTATTAATCGATTGGCATTCTTGCTCACACCTTATGCGAATATTCTATCTCGATATCGATTAAAAAGAAAACAAGCTGGCATCTCTTCAAATAGATATTTGTATGGGAATTAACGTTATAACCTCATGATTTGTTAATATTCTCTTAGTCTAGCTCGTTTGTTTGCTATGACTAAAGATCTGTTCTTCCACATAGAATTAATTCTAAATTAATCGGCCGTAGAGATTGGGGATGCCATTCATCGTCATCATAATACATACTAGCTAATCGATAGATTTATAAAATGTAGATTATAAATCGATTAGTCGTTATAATGTAAAGCAATACACCAGTTAATCCTGACATTGGGCGAAATACTCTAGTCAGCCGGTTTTCGTAGGTGGAATGGGCTTATGTGCAATGCGTTAATCGCGGAGTCAAGACGAAGAATCGAAATGATAGACTGTTACTCTATAATTGCGTTATGTAGAAAGAAAAAGAGAGAAAAAGTATTAAGATCGTGCATATTAATGTGTGCGTTATAGCGCCGATTCATTAAATATCGCGATCATGCTAAAGATTTTCATAAACTGATTATTCATTTCGAGTTATCATTTTATTCGGAGTGTGCTATTATTACGACCGGCTGACAAGCGAAGTCAACATAATGACAGATATATGACAGACACCAAAAGAACACTGGTTATGGAGCAAAGCAGATTACGGGCGTGTCGTTGTAACTACCCAGGGACAATCAAAAAGACATGATGTGTTTGGTTTGCCTCCATTACATGACATAGTGCCAAATGCAAAATACTTTGAGTTTGGAAGATCAGATATGTTAATTTATATACACACACATATATATATATATGTATATATATATATATCTACAGATTGTATATTATAAGAATTTTGTTGGCGTAATATATATTACATATATTATTATTATTATTATTATTATTATTATTCCGCCCGTATAATTTGACCGTACAATTCGGAAATTTAAGAATGATCGCGAGAATTTGACATGTTTATTAATCAACCGCCGTAGCAATCAGCGCGACAGTCCGATTCCTGAATTCCTTCGGCATTTCCGTGATTTAGATCATAACAAGTATATCGTTATATATTTTGAGTATATTTAATATTTTAGGCTGTAACCGCAAGAAAATTTTATCTAATGAAACAAATGAAAACAATTATACAAAGTGTGTTGATTATTCCATCTAACATCTCTTCTTTAATATAATGTGCATATTATAGACATAATATAAATCCGAGACTCAGGTTCCACAAATTCGCAATGCTTTATTAAAAACAGAGACAAAACATATCTAGTAGTACGTTTTCTTTATCATTTTCGTTTGAGTATATGTACGCGTTTGATGCGTGTGCATGTTTATATTTAATTATTTAGCTATTCCATCTTTTTTCAGAAAAAACAAAGTCTCTAATTATGTTTTTTCTGTCTTTCAATCAATACTCTATTTATATTATGTGTATGATCTGTGTACTTATCTTTTTTTTTTTTTTTTTTTTTAAAGCTATTTTTTTTTTTTTTAATGCCGGATAATTAGTATTAAATATTTTGTCGGAATAAAACAAATGTGGTATATATATCAATGTAAAAATATATTTTAAAAAAGAATTTATATACAATATGTTGATGTAAAAAAAATAGTTCAAAATTTAAAACATGATAATCGTCTTATTTGGCTATTCATTTGTAAGATATCAAGCTAACATGCAAAGAATATTGAGCAAATTTCGATCTTTAAAAAAGTATTTAATTTAATGGGCTAATACAAGAAACAAATATAAGATTAGTGATTAAAAAAGTCATATGTATTTGCTCTAATCAATTGTAAGCTAAATATTGTGTTCTATTTAATTTTCGTTCCATAAATCCGAATGTTATTCACAATTATCGATTTATTCAGTTCTTATTACATTTGGATGGTGTGGAACTGAATACATTTCCTAGGTTTTCTCTCCAAGATAGTTGAGTATTGTTGTCCTTAGATGTTACTTGTCGTTCATTCCAACGAGTTTTGTAATTCATCGATATATTGCTGTAACTGTCCACTGTATGCATTGTACTATTCATACTGTAAGTTTGATAACCAGTGTCTTGAACTGAATTTGAAATACTTTGCTGATCAAAAGTGCCAAACATTGCGTTACTTTGTTTGTGACTTTCCTGCGTGGAACTTTCTATTTCAGTCTTAATCTTTAAGTCCATATCATTATTGTGCCCTTTATCATTGAATAGGTCGGCATCGAAATACACAGTATTCATGTCAGCTGAATCTATACACCTTGGCAATTCTTCCATATTAATAGAGTCACATATATTTGTTTTATTATTATGTACAATTATTTCATGATTATCCTCAGTATGTTTCACGTTATTTTTATCCAAGGATGTATCTAAAATAATTTAAAAGTAGTATTATTATATAAATATATCTGTATAAATTATATTTTTCCCACTTTGAAACTCTTTGGTTAGATATGATTTTGGTTTAAATTAAAGTAATTCTGTCTTAAAACTTTAAGATTGAGAAATATAAGAACAAATAATAACCATTAATCAAATTTTCACTTTTCTCCACAATTACATTGTCTATGCTCATGTCCATTGTAAAATCTAATCGAATAGCTGAACGAGAACTGCCTGCAATTTTTTCATGCAACACATTGTTCTCAGTAGTATGTATCGGTGACATGTCAGGTGATACGCTTTTAGATTTTACCGCAGATGACTTGTTATTATGTCTAGTTTGTAGCAACCTCTGAAATATATCAATTTGAACAATAAATAGTATATAAATTGAAAAAAAAAGAAAAAAGTTATGAGCTAATTAATCTTATTTGCCAAGATATAAAAATAAACACTTTCTTATATAAAATAAAAATCTTTCTTATATAAAAATAAAAATTATGATTCACATACCTTTAATGGTGTGCCATGGACAAACATACCACTTTGTGGAGGACTGCAGGACAACATCATGGAATTACCAGTTTTAACTGGTGATAAAGATATAAAACTGTCATTATCGGTACACTCGTCATGATTAAAAAATAATTTTCTTCTCAGTGAATTGTTACTTAAATTTACATCATCGCCATCTGTGCTTTGTTCCTTTTGAAAACATAATATTTTTGTTAACAGAATCTTATATAATCAGTATCAAATTGTTTATCTATCATAGGCCAACCTGAGTAAATGAGAAAAAAGGTTTCAAAGCTTCTTCAACATTTTGCGGTAGATCAATAGGTAAAGATAATATTGTCTGACTCCATACTAAAAATAAATAAATGTCAATAAAGTTAATCAATCTTAGTTTATCAAGTCTATTGATACTTATTTTTTTACCATCTTTTCTTGATTTTGAAAGGTCCTTAATAGAATTGAAATCCTGTAGATGTCTATTAGGAGTATCCAAGGGTGGCTTATTCTCCTTTTGTCTGACATCCCATGGACTAGGAATTATATGATTTTGTTTAAAGAACCGATCTATAGCTGCCTGGGCCTTTACCTCCAGTTCTGGATCTGGAGAATATACTTGATGCACGGGGAACTCTTCGATCTTCGCCGGATTTATACGTGCTAATTCATCTATGTTCCATTTAAATCCCGGTGACTCTTGCATAGGGCTCGATACCTACGTATTGTAACAACAAACTCTCACATCATTTTAACCATTAGAGCATTTTAACTATCAATAGAGCATAATTAAAACATTTGGCTCTTGTAGACGGAATGACCTTAGCGAATACAGTCGGGCTGATCACAGGTAGATGCAGTCTATTAGTCAGGTCAGGCTCGAACGGATTTCTAGTAATGAGCCTCCTCAGCTTGGACGGCGGAGTGATGTGAGTCGGTAGACCGGTGAAAGGTAAAGATTGCACGTTATTTTGATTGTGAGTTTCAAAGGCTCGTCTTAACTGCATCTCGTTCTGTTTCACCGGGGTCCTGTGCATCCAAAGATTATTTATTAAATGGCTATCGACTCTCTGCACTTTGCTGGGTGTACCCCATCTTGCTTGCTCCATTATGATAATAACGAGATTCGTCGAAATTTATGTTTCCCTTGAAATTCTTAAAAACACCGCGTCCTTGCTGCAAAACTTCGTCAATCTTGTCTATTATTTCAGCTCATATGTGTCACAACGATATCCCTCAAAAGCCTATTTATGAATTATAAAAATCGTAGTCTTCTATAAAAAAATTATAAGATTAAAGTATAGTCCATCCTTCAAATATGTTTTGAATAAGTATATATAAGTAATCTATAGTTATGTATACTTAGGGTCTATCCAGACGGATTTGCATAGCAGCATAAACATTATACATAAAGAAATGATTGGTCCATTACCTTATACATATGTTATGCGACTATGCACATCCGTCTGGATAGACCTTAAGACCGGACTATGAATACCGGCCTATAACTGGAAAACTACACGAAATATAGTTTCTGGCTTTATGAAATAATTATTTCACCTGGAATATGGGAGATTTAACAATAGGCAAAATAATAGAAATTGATTTAAAAAGTATCATATATTTGGTTAAATCGTTAATTCGCCACAATATTAAATTTGTTTTACATTAAATGCATTATTTGTATGTATATTTGAAATGTTGTTTTGAAAGTTCTTATATAGCGACTATATATGTATATATACTTATTAAATGAAAAAAAAAAAAAGATTATTATTAAAAAAATATAAATTGAAAAGATTATTAAATAAAAATGAAAAATAAGAGTAAAAGTAACGATCTTGGCGTAAGAGATGCTAGATGCTAGTCTCGTTTACAACACGATGGAATAAGCATCAATATTTACGTGATCTATATATGAGAATTAATCTATACATATCCCCGAATTGGCGGACGGAAATGGACTTATAACCAATGAATACGATGTCAGATTTCGCGCTTACCGCATGGTATATGACGTAAAGTCTTTATTTCACATAAAATATAGATTTTTTGTTACTGTTAATATAGAGACACGTTGAGGATGTAAGGAACGGATGTAAGGAAGCACCGTGAAAAAGATTCGCTTATCGGTGAACGTGAGTGCAGCATCGACGTCTGCCATCTGACATCCTGTTTGTTTTAGGTTATAAGATCTGAATGAAATATTCTCTCGACGATGATTACTTAATTTATCTCAAAAGTGTGCAAAAAGGCTACATTTGCGTTATCGAATATTTCCAAATTGCAATGCAATGACAGATGTTATTTAACATTCTCAACGCTATAATTATGATTAATACAGTGTGGGATGGACATTTTTAGAATACATATTTATATCTTGCAATTTTCGGCCAACATCGTGTCATTAACGTATATTTAGAGAAGATAAAATGTAATACATATTCACATAAGAATAAAGTATCGCGACATATTGTGAATTCAGGATCAATATAATCCAATATCGGTTCTTACATATGCTTATATTAATGCACCATATTTATTATATTTTACATATTTATTATACTTTTTAATATAAAAATGATTAGTAAAGTTACGACATTGTTTCTTTTTAAATAAATTTGGTACTTATAAATGTCATTAAAATGCTCTATTAATAATATGTTTTTGTTTTTGCTCTAGAGTAGTAAACCAAAATGGCAGAACAACAACAAACACCTCCTGGTTTCAAACATATGTCTTTGGATAAGATTATTGAAGCTATGACTGCTGATTTGGAAGGTTCAAGCGGCCATTATGTTCAGTTTGGTGTGACTCCGCAGCAAGCTACCTCTCATAGTTGGGGTGATTACACATCTGGACAAACTAGGCATCATATTCCCAATCAACCAACGCATCCCAATCCTTCTGGAATGCAACCGATGACCCCAATGACCACTTCTCTGTATATGCGAGATATGCCGGGTTATGAAACGACAACCGCCGATTCTATATATTTTCCACCACAGACAGTAAATCACTTAGGTATCAATGAGAATAATGATTTAATTGGTACTATCGATGTTGGAGGTGGGAATTATATCAACGTTATTTATGGGAACGCTACCCAGATTATGGCCGAGCAATGTCAGCTCTCAAACATTACACCATACCCGAATCAAGGTATTGTTGATCAGGAATATGGCCTGTTTAATGATCAACATATGGCTATACCATCTGAATTACCAAGTCAGAATTTTAATGGAAAACAGTTAATCGACAATTTAGTTGGAAATTGGGTGCCAAATCAATCTGGAACGTATAGCCCATTTGGTGGATCTCCCAATATCACACCTGTACCACAATCTGTACCAGATATAAGAGAAACTGAGGAATTACCTAGAAATATATCGGATTCTCAATATAAAAAACCAAGGATGGTGGCAGAAGTGAAACCTATGCGACCTTCTTATTCTGACGTTTTGACGAAATCTGCTCCAACACCACCATCTCCATTAACAATTCAGCCTACAAAACCAAAAATCGAGATAGCAGGTAAGAAAGTGTCTAATAAAAATACGAAAAATAAGAACAAACCTGCATTATTGAAGAGACAGAATTCATCTGGCAGTGATGATCACAATTCTCCAAAGATGCAAATTCCTAGAAAAGTTTTAGAAAAAAATTCTTCTAATCTTCCAAGACGATGGGTATCACTGGACAACCTTGGCTCACCGTCCGATTCTCGTCAGATAAATGCTTTTGACAGATCTGATCAATTTTGTTCAGAAAAAAAGAAATCTGTCAAACTATCTAAGAAAACAGAAAAGAATGAAACTCTTAATAATACTAAAATACAAAACAGTAATCCCAAAACTTCAGGAAATATTCCAAAACGTCCGATTCAGATAAACAACAACTTAAACACGATTAATACATCCAGTCAGACGGTATCGTCTGAAAAAATTGAAAAGAATCAACAAGTTATCAACAAGATTAGTAAAGAGGATAAAAAAGTGATCAAGGAGAAGAATCCTAAACGTTTTCAAGCTGAGAAGGCTCAGCAGATTAAAAAGGGACAAAGAAATAGAAAAAGAGAAAATAAAGAATCTTCTGTTAAGGATTTATACAGAAATTTAAATAAATATGCAACTCGTTGGAGTAAAGTTGTATTGAAAATCTTTTATTGGTTACTACATCTAATTTCTGATGTAGTTAGTATGAGTGCCAACTTGGTTATTCAGCTGTAAGTATTAACATAATTAACACCATTCCCTTGTTTCTTCAACATTAAGATAGAATATATTAGTATTTTATATCAGTATATAAGTACCATTTAGACAAAATTTTATATTTTTTAGTGGTAAATGCGCTTGGTATCATACTATACTTTATTTGAAGTACTGGTGGATGTACATGGCTGTGACATTTTGTAAAATTCGTGTTTTAAATGCTATCGGTAAACAGTTAGACAATTGGCTTGGAAGTAGTAAGTTTGCATTCTGGCGAAAGATAAACAATAAAAAGAATGAGGAGAAAGAGGACAATGGCAATTGGATTCATGGTGGTCTGGAAACTAATATTGCATTACCCAGCACTGGTGAGGAAGCCATGAAAAGATTATTAGCATGCAAGGGAAAGGATCCTTATAGTATACTCGGCGTTACGCCGACATGTTCGGATGATGATATTAAAAAATATTACAAGAGACAAGCTGTCTTAGTCCATCCAGATAAAAATAATCAGCCGGGAGCGGAAGAAGCATTCAAAATTCTTGTACATGCCTTTGATATCATTGGAGAACCGGTAATGAAATGTCCATTTTTTATTTGTTATAAAAAAATAAAAAGTACAAAATTAAGAATTAGAATAATAAATATGTAAGTCTTTTATTTACAACACTGTTAAAAAAAATTTATGAAGCATATATATTTATGATGCATGCTATTTTAGGAACGCAGGCAAGCGTTTGATCAGACCAGACAAGTTGAAGCAGCTTGGGGCGAACTAAGTGATTTGTTATCTCAACTCCATCGAAAAATGGAGCAGGCAGCAAACACAATAAGATGTACGAATTGTGGTTTGCGACATAAACGCATCCCTACACAACGTCCCTGTTACGCTGCACGGTTTTGCACTCAATGCAAGATACGTCACAGTGCGAAAGAAGTGAATATTTTAAAAGCTTATTTTTTATATGCTTATTGTCTAACTGGAGTCCCAAGTTAATTATCCAAACTATCATTCATATCATAGGGTGATATTTGGGCAGAATCTCGTTTAATGGGTTTTCTATGGCACTATTATGCCTGCATGGAAGGGGCAGTATATGATGTGACTGAATGGGCTGCTTGCCAAGCTGGAAATCTTAAGCATCTTAGAGCAAACACGCATAGTGTCCAGTATAGAATTGTCTTAGGGCAAAGACTACCATCTCAAACGTCTAGTAGTGGTAAAAAACGACAGCAAGATCCCAATACAAGGTACATTTTATTGTGTATTATTATCTATTGAATTCTATTATTATCTTTATTATTATTATTATTTTTTTATTTTTTTAAATTTTAATTTTTTTATTGTGAAAATACAAGATTATGATGTAATATTTTTCTTCTTTCATGAAATAGCGAAGCAGATTTTGAGGATTTTCTAAACAATCTCTACAATCATAGCAAATCTGCTGGTGCTAATACGTCGGGGGATCAAAACTCTTTTAGAGGAGATTGCAGACGACGTAAAACTAAGCGTAAGAAGTAGATAAATAACTGGCACAGTTGATGGCAAACAACTTCTGAACATTTGATATTGACCTTGTATAATTTACGAAGCGCGTATTATAAACGCATACTACACGCAATCATAAATTTACGTTATCTATAAACAATTAACTTTAGCATATAGATATTACGAATGTTCTCATGAAAAACTAATATTTGACTGATACACAATATGAGATTATGAAAGATTGTGTTCACAAGAATATTGTGCGTGTAAACATCATTGTGTGTTGTAATCATTGTATGGAATAGAATTATGATTGGCATAATTAAGAAGCTCGAGAAGAATAGAAGAAATATCGTAAATAACATGATACGAAGTAATAAATGTTTAATGAGCAAAGTAATACTCAGTCCATATTTTGCCAGTTTAAAATAACAATGACGCGTTGACTTTCCATGTTATAAGATAATGCATAAAAAGATGCCAAATAACCATCGTGGAAAGAAAGCATTGTGTTGCAAAATTATGTTTTAACATTTGAACATTTGTGTTTTGATATATATGCATTTAGACAGGTTATACAATACTACATATATAATATAATACAAAATTTTTTATTATGTTCTTCCAGAATTAAAAGAAAGATAGTATATGGTATCATATTATATTACAAAATATACATTTTGCTTAATTTCATTTTTTTTTAACATTAACTTAATAACAGAAGTACATACATTTAATATAAGTCATGATTTAAAAAAAAAAAGTAGCTCACAGTTTAAATCCAAAAGAGAATTGGCAAATATGAAGAAGACTGATTTTCTCTCATCTTTTTTTTGTTACTTATATAAGTTAAATATAGTTAGAAACATTTCTGATGATATACTCTGCTATGTGTGGAAATAGTTGGAACTCTTAAGATACTAAGAAACTAATGTCCAAAACCCTCTCCTTTAAAATATATATAAATATATAAAGCTCTAGGATAGAAGAAACATTACATGTGTACATGATGCAATGTTACACTACAGAAAAAAAAAACTGCACTGTTCCATACATACACAGCTGTAGCATGTAGAAGAATATAAAACTTATTAGCAGGAA